CTTCTATTTGCTCCATTTCTCTCAAACAGCACGGAGCCTCTATCAACAATAACTTCCCCCAAATCTCTCCCCGTTCACACAGTCAAGTTCCACTCACAGATTCTCTTAACTTTTCTTGCCTCCTCCAAAATAATTATTTGTAAGTCCGTCCCTTTCAGTTCACCGGCCGCTTTTGTTTACCTGTTTGGGTTTTGTCGTCTGGAGGTCTCATCCGTTATCCCAGCTGAAAGTAATTTTGTGCCTCGATATTTCTGCTTGTTCTTGAGTTCCATCAACACCTTGTCTCTTCTTACGTTTGCATTACAAACAAGTCTCTTTTTTTTCCACCCATGCAGTTTTAAAAACTCCGGCGGCTGCGGCTTTGCAAAGTCATGGCAGCCATGTTTGCTCCGTCGTCAGTCTCTGCTTCTGGGGCGTTTTCTGGACACCCCCCGCGTTGCCGATTGTGGGGGGGGGGAAATAAAGCCCCTTGCTCCAGCAGTCCATTCCAGGTCCGCTGGTCGGGGTTCCCCGGCAACCGGAGCCCCCGAAAGAAGACTGACGCGTTCGGGCGGCTCAGCGTTCGCTAGAGCACGTCCGTCGTCGCGCCATACCGGAAGTGCTCTCGTTGTTAAGTATTGACATCATAACTGCAGCCATTTGTGTGAATGCTTGATACCAATAGATATGTACTATGGAAATCAATATTGCTGCAGACTTGTCACCTTATTGACATGAGAAGATACTTTAGAAAGACACAAGTTACACAACTGAGATTCTTTTAGAAAGACATAATTACACAACTGAGATTCTTCTAGCCAGGGTTGATTTTTATCTTTTAATAACACATTGGTTACCTAATCAGATTATTTCTCGGTTAAACAAATGTGTAAAGTGTTGTAGTGTTCCTAATGTGTAAAACAGTAGACACCGGGAATATAATCCAGATATTTATGCACATCCGTGCCAGTTCCTTCCTGGCTATAGGGATGGGTATGAACTGCAAAACGAACTAAATTTTTACTCGAACTGGGCCAGTTTATGGTTCATTTTGACCCAGTTCATTTGGTTGCACCACTCCCGAACCAACAATGAACCACCATTTTTTTCACGAAGATTCATTTTTCAGGTGGTTCATTAGAGCAGTTGGTTGGCCAAACAGGCCAGACAGCCTGGTGACAATTCAATCTATTCCTAGGCAGCACTGGGGGTGGACTTGTGGAGAGCCCTAGAAACACCCATAGTAGTTGTTCATAGCTTTGTTGACAGCTCTGGCAGCCAATCACAGAGCTCCCATTCTGCTCTATGGGAGCAGGTTGTATATATACCACACCCTGACTCAGCTGTTTTCACAGGAAGAGAGACGAGAGGAGATAGATGTCAAGTGAGAGTGAGTTAGGAGAAGAATTGCTGCTGGCTGATTCAAGGGGAAGCCTTGAGGCTTTCTCCACACAGTGGGACAATTTTTTAAACACCTCTCTCAGCTGGGAAGGTGTTCCTTGCTGTGGTTTCAAAGACCTGAGCCACACACTTACTAGAATCTCTCTGCCAGTGCCAGATGGGGAGGGCAAACTCTTTGGGTTTCCTTTTCTTATCTTTTAACCCTCTTGCTCTGGAGGGACCACCTGAGCCAGCCTCTCTCTGCCACTGCATGGTGGGGGGGCAAGCTCTTTTTTTCTTTTAAAACAACAACACCCCTTGCTGGGGTCTCCTTTACTTTTATTTATTAAAGAACACCATTCAATACACTTCTTACACTGCGGCTCTGATTTCCCCAAAGAGCACTTTCCTGGTTGCACCTGCTTTGGGGGGCTGTAACTCACCCCCCCAAAATCCATTCCTCACCAAACTTGGAGGGCAGGTAGAGGAGAGTCAGCTGGAGACTTGCTGCAAGTTTGGCATCTCTACCCCACAGGGAAGCCATTGTATCATGTCATTTATTTTATTTATTTCTTTATTTTTAGATTTATATCCCGCCCTCCCCAAAGGCTCAGGGCGGCTTACAAAGAGGCATAAATGCCAGGTTAAAACAATAAAACAGTATAAAGAACAGTAAAAGAATACAATATAATACGATTCACTAAAATATCGGTGCTCCAAAGGTAACTTAGATCGTGAATTCCAAGATGGGGTTCTGGAGTAATTTATACCAGAACAACAGCAATATACATCTCAGCAGCACTGTCATCCACCAGGAACGTCTCGCACCCCCGATGATACCCGCTCAAGCTGTGGTAAAAGTGCGATGATGGAGGAAGCGGTGATGGAATAGTGGTGGCAGAGGCTCCTACTCAAAAGCCTGGCGGAAGAGCTCCGTTTTACAGGCCCTGCAGAACTTCACAAGGTCCCGCAGGGCCCGGATCTCTTCTGGGAGTTCGTTACACCAGGTAGGAGCCGCCACCGAAAACGCCCTGGCCCTGGTGACAGCAAATTTGATGTTCCTGGGGCCTGGAATGTCTAGGAGATTTTGACTCCCCAACCGTAGTGCCCTTGGGGGAACATGCGGGGAAAGGCGGTCCCTTAGGTAAGCCGGACCCTGGCCATATAGGGCTTTAAAGGTAAGAACCAGCACTTTGAAGCTAATCTGGTACGCCATTGGCAGCCAGTGCAGCGCTTTCAGCACAGGCCGGATGTGATCCCGTCTAGGGAGACCCATCAGCAGCCTAGCTGCAGCATTCTGCACTAGCTGCAGCTTCCGAATTTGCGACAAAGGCAGCCCCATGTAGAGAGCGTTACAGTACTCTAACCTCGAGGTGACCTTCGCATGGATCACTGTCGCCAGGTCATCACGATTGAGGAAAGGGACCAACTGCCGCGTCAGCTGAAGATGGTAAAAGGCCAACTTGGCAGTGGCTGCCACCTGGGCCTCCATCATTAAAGAGGAGTCCAGGAGCACATCCAAATTCCTAACCTCCAACGCTGGTACCAAAGGCACCCCATCGAAGGTCGGGAGAGGGAGCCCCAACCCCGAACCAATCCGACTCAGACCCAGGACCTCCGTCTTTGCTCTTTAGTTTCAGCCAACTCAGTCTGAGCCAACCAGCCACGGCCTGTAATGCCCGATGCAGGTCATCTGAGGTGGAGTCTGACCGGCCGCCCAACATCAGATAGAGCTGGGTGTCATCTGCATATTGATGACACCCAAGCCCACGACTCCGGGCGATCTGGGCAAGAGGGCACATGTAGATGTTAAACAACATCGGGGACAGCACCCTACATTCAAGAGGCCGCCTCTGGGACCGCTGATCCCGTCACCACCGTTTGTCCTCGACCTTGGAGAAAAGAGGCAAACCATTGAAGGGCAAGCCCCTGAATTCCCATGTCGGCGAGGTGGTGGGCTAGCAACTGGTGGTCGACCATGTCGAACGCGGCTGACAGATCTAACAACACCAGTGCCGCCACACCGCCACGATCCAGATGCCTATGGAGGTTGTCAGTCAGAGCGACCAGTACCATCCCCGTCCCATGACCAGGGCGAAAGCCGGATTGGAAGGGATCGTGGACAGAAGCGTCATCCAGAAAGCCCTGTAGCAACAAGAGGGACTTGTTGACAATGTCCCGCAGGGCACCTCGAAACCCCTTGCAACCCGCTTTAATGAGCAAGGAGGGGCACGGATCAAGGTTGCATGTGGTTGGGTGCACAAATACAAGCAATCTGTCAACTTCCTCCAGGCTGAGTGAGCTAAAATTCACTAAACCCGACACCAAAGACGTGCAAGGGGCCTCAAGTTCGCTCACTGTATCAATTGTGGTGGGGAGGTCACGGCAGAGCGCCTTTCCCTGCAAAATAGCTTGCAAAAGCCTCACAGCCGATGTCCAGTTCCCTAACATTTTGCCTGCCCCGTGGCAGAGCTGTCAAAGACCGAATCGTACTAAATAATTGGGCCGGGCTTGAGCTAGCAGATGCAATCATGGTCGCATAGAAATCTCTCTTTGCGGCCTTGACTGCCATCTCATAGGATCTCATAAGCGTTCTATAGGGTGTTCTTGAAGCCTCGTCGCGAGCACAGCGCTGTCTCTCTAGTCTCAGTTCTCGCTTCAGCTGACACAGCTCCTGTATATACCAGGGCGCCCGCCTAGAACGAGTGCGAAGAGGATGCCTGGGAGCGATCTCGTCGATGGCTGAGGAGAGCCGGTCATGCTAGTCCTCAACCAGCTCATCCAACGAACCGCCAGGGGGCCTCAGATCCCGCAAAGCCATCTGGAGCTGCATAGGGTCCATTTGGCAGCACGGGCGAGCAAAAATCCGCTCGCCGCCTAAACAGGGTCAGGGTGGAACATTCAGACGGGCCTTCAGGGCCTGGTGGTCCAACCATGGCACTGCCTCCGCCACCATCACTCCAGCCGCGAAGATCAAATCGAGCATGTGACCGGCCCGGTGCGTGGGGGCTGTAACGAGAGAGTCCCAGTGCCGCCATGGACAACACTAGCCCGGCTGAAGGCCACATCCTCGGCATGGACGTTGAAATCACCCAAGACAATCAGCCTAGGGTGCTCCAACGCGCAGCCTGATACGGCATCCAGCAGGGACAGCAGGCTGTTGGCCAGTGCGTTAGGCAGTCAGTACACCAACCAAATCGCCAAACTCTCCTCAGCCTCCAGCATCACGCCAACACACTCTGCACTCCACAGCCGGGAGTAAGGAGTAAGCCTCTCGAATGAAAATAGCCACTCCTCCCTCCCGCCCCCTAGTCCGTGATTGGTGAAGGACCAAGAAACCAGGTGGGGCAAGCTGGGCGAGTTGAACTTCACGAACCACAAACCAGTTCGTTAAACTGAAAGGTTTGTGGTTCGTGAACCCCAATGAACCATGAACTCCCACGGACCACCATTTTTTCGTTTCTGCCCATCCCTACCTAGCTGTGACAGATAGGGCTTTCAGAGCAGGTGAACTATTATAGAAATTCCAATTCATGAGCTGATCCTATCTCTTGGATCTCTTCCAGTATTTTGAAGAATTTTGTGACATTTGTACTTCTTTGGTTATTGCTCTCACTGTCTTTAATGCTTCCATGCATCAGGCCTGATTGAGATACAGGTGTGCATTCAAGAAGGCCAGTGCATCTAGTTAGCTTTCCTATATACTCAAATATCTTAAAATATATAAAAGCTTAGTTCATTCTTGCTACTTTCTATCATAACATAAAATATTTACAATAGTTTTATGTATGAAAAAAATTATAAATCAGTATCTGTAGGCTTCCCCCGCACACACATCTTTGAACTATATCTTCACTTCTTGTTCTTGCCATTCTCAGATGTTTCTTGCACCTGGCCTCAGACACATTATGTCTGTTGATATTACTCTGATATTGTTATTAATCTATTTCTAATATCTGAAAGGCTGAAAGGCTATATTAGTCTGGTATTCCTTTGTTCCTTGCTCCTCTCCATAACTGTATGACAGTTCTGTTCTGGATCTTTGGACTCCCTGTTTGTCATGGCTCTGTGTATAGCTGAGAAACTAGGCCAGCTCTGCTTAATGCTAGCAACTATTCCCCTGTATTTTTGACCATATCCATGACATGCTGCATTTATGTGTAAATAATAGATTGTGAAAAGCAAATAGCAAGATTGGAAAGGTGATTAAAAACATTTGCTTGTCTTTGTTTCACACCTAAAGCTACACTTACTGGTGGACTCCAGGTGTATTAAAACACTTGCCACTGCCTTATGATGAAGGTAAGTGCTTTTTGTTATAATTTTTTTCATTTTAAGATTACTACACCAAACTGTTGATATAATTGCACAATTTTTTAAAATATTAACATACCTATGATCATATGTATGGTGAATAAAACCAGTATGTTGAAGAAGATATCGATAATGTGTATGATGGATTTTAAATAGATTTTCTTGTCGAAAGGTTAGTTAGAGGCTTGTGTAAAACACTTAAATACTTAAATCCATATAGCCATTATTTTATAGAAAATTAGTTGCTGTACTTTTTTAATCCATGTATGGTATTTAGGGTATGTAATAACTCTCTCATCTGTGGAATTAGTAAAGGAAAAATCTATGACGTTACAGCAGTCATGAGGTAATATGAGCTATAATATATGTACTGGATGCTCATTTCAAAGACAGGAGAAATTTTGAAAAGGTAGCTGTTGGAAAAATCATTCTCTAAAACCTGAAGAGGCACATTCCTTTCCAAATATGTATGGTGATTAAGGCTTAACAGTATAGACACTGTGTCTGTGTCCATCCTTCATGCCTTAGCACAAGTGATCCCACTAGACAGGAGTTTTAGCTTAAAGAGTTGGTTCCCATGCACTCCTCCTTTGTTCATAACTATAAGTAGGCAGTACTGATGCACTCACTTAAACATATCTGTTCAGAAAAACTGGCTATTGTGCTTGGTGCTTGAAGTCAGTAGAGTTCACATACAGCCTTTTTAAAAATGGAATTGATTTCTAATGCTATATTTGTACCATCCCTGGTTGAGCACAACCTGCCACCATCCCTTAGACTATAACTACACATAATGTTTTTCTGATATGTCTTCAGGTAAGGTAACAAATGTGTTCTGGGAGTGCTGTCTTTCCCAGGCACACAGAGACTCAATTTGTAGCAGCACAATGGGAAGTGGAGGCTTAAACCTCTCCTCCAGATTGCCATTTACCTGAGCTGGAATGTATTCAGGAAGCCAATATGGGGTTGAGGGGGAGGAGAGGCAGGTAGCCATATGGGTACGTGTGCAGCCCTGAATAAGGCAGTTGGTTAGTGGATCCCCTTGCGTCACACTGGTGGTAAAGAAGAGTGCTGCTTGTTATTTTCTACCTGCCTTCTTTCTGTTTCTTAACTACCTGTGAAGATCTTTTAAAGGTAAACTTAATTCAAGGGATTCTATATGCATAATATCTTAATTGCATATTTTAGTGACATATAGCTACAGTAAAAGCTTTGTAATCCAGCAGTGGACTATCTGGAAAATTTGATTAACTGGCATTGCCCAGAGGGCATGCTTCTTTCCCCTTCCAGCCACCACACCCCCTGTCTTCAGGTATGCGAACACCCCACTCCTGCCTCTCCAGCTAGCCAGCTTGATGCCTCTGGCTGTTGCTGGTCTTCTTCATCCGAAGACAGAAGCCCAATCACGGTGCCAAGGATGTTACAGATAGAACGTTTCGACTGAACGTCTTTTTCACTGCCATGCACAGTGACCAGGATCAAAACATTTGCTATCCGAATACAATGTTGTAAATTTGTGAGAGCTGCTCTCAGCCAGTATAGAAAACTTGTACCTTTCATGGAAACATGAAGTAAAGAATAGTACTACAAACTGATGGTTGAAAAAGACGTTCAGTCGAAACGTTCTATCTGTAACATCCTTGGCACCGTGATTGGGCTTCTGTCTTCGGATGAAGTTCACCTATTAAAATCAAGTAGAAATCAGCAAGACTCATTAATGTGCCTTCAATAGTATGAACTTGTACAGTAATTCTTTCTTGTGTTATTGACTTTACAATTACTGGGTCCATTTGTGTTATTTTGTTGCTGGTCTTCTGACAGCCTACACTGTCATCCTCAGGTGCCTCCTTCCTGCTCAGTCTGCCTCCCTACCACCACCAAACAGCTTTGGACAGTCAGCGCTGCCAGCTGAAGTCATCCTTGGGAGCCTCTTTCCGTGTTTGCCTCAAGCTGCTAGAAGAGCTTCCAGAGGTCTTCCAGGCAGTTTGCCAGCTCATTGGCTGGGGGGGTGGGTGTCAGGTGTAGGGGCTGTTACTATTGTATTCCCAAGGGTGTGAGATTTTGGTAATTTGTGGCAGGTCAGAGCAATAAGCCTGAATATCTATAACATTTGATTAACCAGCAATCCCCATTCCTGATTAGTGCCAAATAATAAATCTTTGTCTAAAGAATCTCTTACTAGGTTTTGTCTTTTGTAGTGACATGTGCTGAAAACAGAAGGAAGCTAATGGTGAAAAAATTTCATAAATCTGATGAAGAAATTGATATTCATAATGAATTTTTTCGACCTTATGAACTCAGCAGTTTTGATGACACCTTTTGCTTGGCAATGACAAATTCTATACGGTATTTCTGCTTTTTAAATTAAATTGTAGCACTAACAGCTATTTATTTCAAAAGTAAATTTTTATTGAAATATCAAGAGTTTTCTCAAGTGACAGATTCCATCTATAGCCTTAAAATGGCATCTCTTCAGGAGAGAATGTGTTCTTAGAATTTGCTGTCTCTTCTAAGAACTAAGAAGTGTGCTGCTTTCTAAAGAGCATGCTAGTAGTATGCTTTTAGTTAAATTGTCCAGGGACAATGAGATGTGCAGAATTTCTAATACAATGGGTCTAAGAGCAACGTAAGAATGTATAATCCAGCTCTTTGGAGGAACTGCTGCCTCAGGAATGTACATGAAGGGTCACCTATTCATCTGACTTGGCTGTAAGGCTGTGAGTCTGACATCACTGATTCATTTGAAAGTCAGCAGGTGAAGTAGCAAGCATGCTTGACTTTGACTGGGGAGAGTTCAAATCCCTGCTAAGCCACAAAGAGTGACTCTGAGATAGAAAATCACAGTCTTAGCCTAATTTACCACACAGGATTGTTGTGAGGACAAAAAGGATGAAGGAATATGCCCCCTCTCCAGGCTTCCTGGAGGGAAGGAGGGAATAAAAATGTAATAAATGGTGAGAAAGAGAAGCAAATGTTTATGTAAAGGTAAAAAATAACTCTTTTGAGATGGTGAACCCAGGCAATATATAGTGGGGGCTTTTTATCAGCGATGAGTCCAGTATAGCAATTCCAGATTTCAGTGGGGGGGGGGATCACTTTGCCAGGTATATTTAGTATCATTTTAATGTATTTTAAATCTTAACTCTCAGAATTTATTTAAATCTTGAATCAAGTGCTGCAAAGGTGCTTTTGAAAATTTTATTAACTTGTATGATTTGACCTGTTTGCATTTTGCGTGGGGGGGGAGTGTAAATTGCATCTGAAATAATTATGTGGTCTAGCCTGAGAAGAAAATATTTCATAAAGTATTTCTGCTTATTGTGTTTTATTTATTGATTCTTCCCCCATTCCCTTTTTCTTCAGAGATTTTATGCCCAAGAATGTTGGCATTGATCCTAGCCCATTTACTGTACGTAAACCTGATGAAACTGGAAAATCTGTGTTGGGGTAAGAAAATCAATACTTTCATTACAGCCTCATTTAATTATGAATTATGAAGCACCTATTGTACTAGGAAATCTGTAGTGCATCATTCTAAAAAAAAAAAGAACACAAAACAACATGGAGAATTCTGAGTTCTCCAGAGCTTTGCATCAGGCTAAATGTTAAGGCCTTCTGTCTGCATCATGTGTAGAATGCTAGGCTGATCTGAACAGAATGTCGTGCTGGATGGGTGTGGTACCAGGTTGCACTTTAGGCCTGGAAAGAAGAAGGGAGAATGGCAGCCTGCAATAAAAAACATGAGAACAAATAGTTCATCGTGACTGCGCAGTCGCAGGCCAGCCACGGAAAAGATTTCCAAGCTTTCTAATAGACTGGGAGTGCCCCTCCTCCCTCTGGCGCTTTCCCGCCAAAACGCTCAGATGACCAGGAGGAGGGGCGCTACTCCCTCAATTCTCTTTTTGCGGCCGTGGAGAGAGGCTCTCCACGGCTGTTCTCTGTGTTTTTCCTCACCTCAGTTTTGAGGCTGAGGAGATTTTTTTTCTCAACAGTTTTTATTCTAGTGAACAATGAAATACGTCTAAAGAAGAATTTTTAATGGATTTCCACTGTGTCATTATGACTAAAAATGGTGCTGATAGCCATTCTCTGTGCCTTGGCTGCCTAGGGGTTCACACAGCAGAGCTGCCTGCTCTTGCTGTCACCAGTTTACCCTGAAGGCATGTGTGGAAAGAGCTGGACTCAGAAGAGTCAGGGTCACTTCTGGTACGGCACGCAATGGATGGCTTGTGGGAACTCCTGTGCCGTCCGATCCCCCTTCGCCTTTTTTGGAGCCCCCCCCCCGTGAGGGATGGGCTCCACCGGTCCTCCCGGAGAGAGAACCGGCGCAGAGGGCTTGTTTCGACCCCTCCCTCACTTGGCAATGCGGGGGGGGGGGGATCGCTACCGCCCTGAAGCAGGAGCATCGGGAGGAGCTGCAGCCTTCCATTTTTTTAAATCTTTGTTTGGATTACAATACTACAGCAACACAGCAGGGAAAATAACCCTTCCTGGACTTATAAAATATTGCAAGTTGTGAGTACGCTCGGTTTCCATTCTTATAGAAGAGACGACTCTTTACAAACCTACCCCATATTTCTGTACCCAAAAATGGTAAAGATTAGCGGCCAGAGAAGGAATGAGGGAGATATTAGTGTGAAAGTTGTTTTTTTTTCTTTTGTGGGGTTAAAAACTTTGTGGGAAAGGACTTACAACCATGTATGATACCTCAGATTGTTGCTAAAAACTGAGTTATTCTAATTGAAATTAACCGTGTAATTAAAATGGCGCCGGCAGAGGGATTGGAGGAAGAGCAGATTGATGATAATATGCAAGTGGGAGAATTAACTGTGGAACAATTTTTGAAGTTATCGAGAGATGGAATACAAAAAGGTTTCGAGATTGCTTGTGCCAATTTATTTGAAAAACCACAGAGTGTACAGCCGGCTATGGATAATGAGGAGGAATTGGTGCATGAAACACAGAGTGCTGTGGAACAACAGGCTTGTTATGTTAAGGAGTCACTTGTTGATATCCAACCTGCAGTAACTATAGAAGCAGAAAAGAATACTATGAGAAAGGCCAATGTAAAGACAAAGC